CCCTCCCACCGGCGCTCCGGTCGCCAGGGAGAGAGGAGCCGCGGCGGGCTCACCGCCCTCTCCCCGGCACTCCGGTCGGCCAGGAAGAGCGGAGCCACCCTCCCCCGGCGCTCTGGCCGGCTGGGGAGAGCGGGCCCGCGGCTGGGCTCGCCACCCTCCCCCGGCACTCCAGCCAGCTGGGGAGAGCGGGGCCGCGGCCGGGCTCGGCACCCTCCCCGTCGCGCTCCCCGCCGGGGGGGCAGGGGGAGGCTTTTTTGCCCAGTGCTTTTGGTGATCTGACTGCTGCTGAGGGAGTCTAGCCTACATCTTCCCTGGGAGCTGTTGCTTTTACCTCCTCCTTTACCTTCCCCCTTCCTACCACAAGCATACATAGATGAGGGAGGGCCTATTGAACTAGGAAGTGCCCCTTCCTCAAGTGATCCTAAGTCCCAACTGCTCACCTCTAGGAAGTTGATAGTCTGGAGCTTTCCTGACCTTGACCACATTCCTTATGTATTGTGCTGTCCTGGATGTATTCCCTAACCTGATGGATTGCTATCCATTGTTAGAATTTGGGGTCTGGTTGTGGCTGATCCTTCCATCACTTGGGCTTACGATCACCACAAACCGAGGGACTGAATCACTCTGGAGGGTAACTTCACTCTCCTTTGCTTCTGTTTGGAATGGTTTCAGGTCCTTTAGGGGTATGTCTGCACTGCAACAGAGAAGTGGGTCTGCAGCACACTTAGATATACCCAATCGAGATACTTGCTAAAAAGGGCTAGCTCATGCCATTGTGGCTGAGTATAATCCCACCAAGGACCTTGAGTACATTCTCCAGCAGCTAGCCTGTACCACTGCCTATGCTACCACAGCTGCACTGCTAATTTTAGCGACATGACTTGATCAAAGGTAACTCAGGCGTGCCCATAAGTGCTGCAATCACACTTCCCAAATGTAAACATGCCCTAAGAGGAAACTCTGAATTTCTCACCCCCATGGAATAATGAGACCAGAAGATCTACAAGCTAAAGCTGGATAAAATGACACTCAGAGTCACAGTAAGTGTCTGGAGCAAGAGATGAGTGAATCTTGTTGAACCCTTCCTGGAGAAGGAAAACAGAATCTTTGTCCTCCAGAACCATGTAGAGTTTCAGGGCTTGTTGCTTAAGGTCTTTCCCTCTGTTTCCAAGACTCCATAAAGTCTCTCTGAAGGAGGAGGACTTAAAAGAGATGGCAAATTCTATTTAGTTTTGGACAGGTAAGATCTGCCCTTGGAGTTAGCCAGAAAAAGAAAATGAGCAGGTTGTCTTGTGACGGCGGCCACCAACTTCCTCTCTATTGCTTCAAACATGTCTGGGGAAAGAACCTCTCGTGATTCAAGCACCCCTTGGTGCCAACTCGCACAGGGCATGCACAGGGTTTTACATGTATCCCCTAAGTCGGATACATGAATGTAAGGTGGCATGTAAGGTTCCTAGCAAGAGCTAGTAGCCCACTGTAACCATCATAACCATTGTAGAATGTACTTACATATAATATGTAAGGAGCTATCTATCTCTACTAAAATTCTGTTGTTAAGGTCTTGGAGTTAAGGCAGATCACTAGGAGGTAACATGTCTCAGACATGTTCCTTTCACCTATCTCCCTGTCCAGGCGCACAATGTATGCCGCACAATGTATCCTATGTGCACATTAGCCAGAGCCTATATAAAAGATTGCAAAATCTACAAGAGAGAAAATCTACAGGAATAAACAATACAGCACAGGAGTGTCCTGTATACGAATAAAGACAAAGGACTGGATTGGTATATCTTGGGGGACAAAGAAACATACAGAGTCCTTCACCTGGGAGGCAAACTGACCGTGTACATGCCTCATGAAAGGGGGATCACAGCCAACCTGACTGCAAAGTGGTACAAAGATTTTTTGTGAGCGTTACTTTATACGACATGAGAGCATCCAGTTAACTAAGCCTAGGATCCCGAATGAATGTTATGATTTTATTTCATATGTAACCATTTCATTCCAATACTTCTACTTGGTACTACACCAGTCTCTTTGCTTAGTTAAGTAAATTTATACTCGATTACACTCTGAACCTATCGAAGTGCTGTGTGTGTTGAGGGAAGTGGTATCTGAAGTGGAATTAGTAAGCTGGGGTATTTCTTTCAGATCTGAGAATTCTGCAAATGTCCAGTGGACCAGACGCTGGATGCTCCAGAGAGACACTCAGAGGGCTTGAGGGTGAGAGTGTGCCAATTGCTAACTTGTAGTGTGACAGTGTGGACTGTAGCCTACTGTGGAGTGGTTAGGTTGCCCATGGCAAGTGGAGTTGGGGATCTGACCCATGGCAGTGTTCCTCACGCTAAGGGCAGGTGATAGTAAGGAAACTCACAACCCTGGATTCCCCTGGGAAGCACCACAACCTCTCTCCTACTTTTCCAGTTTCGGGTTATCAGGATCCAAAACAAAGAGTTTCCCTTCTTCAGGGGAGGAACCACAGTTTATGGAAGAAAAATTAGGCTCTGGAGTGCTTTTGAGCTTTATTCTGGTGGATTGGGGGGATGGTGGTTTGTTTTTTTGGCCTTTTCGTTTACTTTTGCTTATAGTGGAGATGGCGTTCATTAATGGAGAACCAGCCTCTTTTCTTGTCTGATGTTTCCTTTTGTGTCTTAGCCACTTGGTACCACCACCAATTATATATTGGATAGGGAAAGTACAAGGGAACATCCCTTAGAGAACCCAGATTTTCCTTCTGGAAAGAAGGGAATCAGAAAAGATGCCAGATTTCTCAACAATTATGCTCATAAGAACCTGGGCTAGCATCTTGTAGTTCTTCCCATTAGAGGTGAATTGGAATAATGAGTTCAGGAAGAGTCCTAGATCAGCGAGAACAGCTGGGTTTGCTGAACCACAGGAGCTAAAAAGGATTGCCCCACAACTCCAGAGGCATCTCTGTAGTGATCTCATCTGCTGTGTGGGGATGTTAGAGCCTTAGAATATCACCCAACCCTCAGTCCCTTCCCCTGACTCAGGAAGGTGCTCCGGTTGTAAACAATTGTGGCTCAGCTACTCTTCTGTGGCTCCTTGCAGGAAGAGAAGTTCTTAGCTGTGGGCTTTCCCTGGGGCCCTGCTCCGTATGACTAATAAATGGAGAGGAGTTCAGCAGGTGGTTCCAATTAGGTTAAAAAGCCCCAGATGTGTTGGTTTCCTAAGGCAGAGCAGAGAGTGGGGGCTCACTGCTGCCCTCAAAAGCAGGTATAAAAGATAGGATTGCAATGAATAGGGTTGGAATGATGAATCTCCACTTTGACTGCCCTGTCAGAGGCACAACAGTGTAAAGGGCCTGGCCAACATCCCCCACCCCCCAGTTTTGCAGACAAGCCAGAGCTGCCTCTGGTATTTACAGTAAGAGAGGTGCAGGTCATTATTATCAGAATGGTGGAGAGGCCACGATCCAGAAACCCCTTTCTTCAGGAATATTTTTCTCTTCACAAATCGCCATATGATATAGCATCAAAGTGAATTTTTATCTCCCTTAATATCTCTCATGGAATCAATTCCCAGTATAAGCTATTATCATCATTCCAGTATCTATCTTGTTTGGTGATGGAGCTGGGCACATGGTTCCCACCTAGGCAGTCATCAATGGCATGATGTGAATTCAGTAACAGTAATGCTTGATGCTAACTAGGATAATGGTGGGGCCAAGAGCCTCCCCGCAGAGTTCAAAGACTTCACCTTTAGCCGATCTGATCATCGTCAATCTGGGGAATGAATGTCAAGGTCACTCTTAAATCTCAGTCTTCTACATGTCAGCTGTTGCCAAGCCATCTGACAACCCAGCTGTTTCTGAAATATGTAACACTTTCTTATACTACATTCTCATTTTGAAGGTTCTTGTGTTTTTCTCTTTCACGTTTCTCGATTTATTTCCTCAGCATGATTACTCAGCCATATGTTCTCTCTCTCAGCCTCATCTTTCTTATACCTCACGAAGAAATAAATGATCACATCCATTCCTTGATTATTAGCATTTCTCACTGAAATTTAAACTCAGCAAGATGAGGAGAATTAAATCAGGTGAGAAAAATAAGTGAGGGAAAATGTTTGCCTCCTAATTCACAAGGAAGCTTGACAAATGCTCACACACAGACACACAGTCATGGGACACCATGTATTGCTGAATTGAGCCATAATAGGCAGGGACTGTTACAGAGTTTGTACAGCATCATTGGAGCCTACAGACACTGCCACAATAAAAATAAGTAACAATAACAATAATGATAATGGCTTAATTCCTGTCAGGTGTCACCCTTGGGATTATAAACAAAACTTTTAGCTGTTTAGTGATCTTGGTGAAATTAGTTTGGTGGTTTCAGTCCAGCTGCCAGTGATTAGTATTCACATCAGAAAAACTGGCATGCTGTTGGCAGTCTCTTAGGCACAAGAACTGAATAAGCAAAGAGGTGGCTTCATTACAGTCATTGAGGCACATTGGCAGGGCAGTGGATGGAAGCCTGCACTACGACTGCTGCACCTCTACCTGTTTTGTGAATAGAGAAGATCAATTTGGGCACTTTTCACAAGCCCTATTTTTTTTAAATGTTCTTGCAACAGTTTGATTTCCTTTTGGGAACAAGCAGATCTGAATCATTACCAACTTATTATTTTAATAAACAGTTATTTAGATGAAGTTCTGTAATAATTTGCCATTTGCAACTTGGAAAAGAGAGATGGTAATTATTAACAACTGCCTTTCTATAAACATATTGAAGTGGGCTCCAGGTTATAAAGAGTTGATTAAAATTAATCATCAGCAGTATAAAGGATACCAGTTAGGTCATGTAACAATTAACTAACTGAAAGGATCAGGAGAATTATAAAAAATATTTTGTGTCCATCGAATATTGTAAATGGAAAGATTTAAAGGAAATTTTGCATATTTATTATATATAGCACACAAGTATATTCACTCCTCTCAAATATTAATTATACTGTATTTAAAAATGTCTTACTTGTTAGCAACCAAACGCATCACAGTCCAGTCTTTTGGAAACATCTCAGGTCGTATGAGTATTCGAAACACAGTAAAAATTTGCAGCAGGAAATCCTAGGGAAGAAAGAGAGGAAACCTCACTATTTTTTTTGTTTAAAATAAAGGAAAAATGAACTCCAAAAATATTTTCATAACCACGATAAAAGCAATTACAGAAAAGAGCAGAACCACAAACATTGTGACAGTTGTTTCCAGGAGTACTGTTTTTCCACACTTTTTTATTTGCTTCCCAAGGAAACGTCAATAAATTGTTAACTCACTTTCCCCACAAATAGGGAAAATGATTTAATGTGTTATTTGAGTGACAATGACATACTGAAGGGAGAAATCTCAAAGATACTCCAAGTTTCCCACACATACATTTCCACTGAGGTGCTCCCAAGAGCACTTTGCAAGCCAAAGCAACATTTCCTGAGTATTACAGAGATCTTAATGCCTCCGTGATCATGTCCATTTTTCATCACTCCTAAAATGTATAAGCAAATCTCCACTGTATGCAACAGGAGGTCAGAAACAGAGGGGACACACTTATAGGACTGGGCAATAGTGATGACTAGGCCAGAGACTTTTAACCCCAGCTATCTTGCTTTAGGCAGGTCAATTATCCTCTCTGCCTCATTCTTCTCATTTGTAAACATAGCTAATGTTTGTAATGTTTGTAAACTGCTTTAAGGATACAAAGCACCATTTCTGAGCTGAGTAATCTCAAATAATTTAAATCAGTGAGATAAGTGAAATGACAAAATTAAACAGCCACAGTAGAGAGTCTTTCAAATCTTTATAAATAAAAAATTCCTGGACAGGCATTACTTCCAATAGACCATTCTTATTTCATTTAACATTCTCCGTATTTTTCTAGTAAGCAAAGTGAGCATCACATCATGAAAAATGTGATGCGAGGGATATTATTAGCTGAACAGAATCAATGCAGCACATGACCTTGAAACAAGCCTATCTCAACTGTATTGAATTAGCTCCCTACATAGATTTGATGCAGATACAAGCTGAGGATAGCCAATAGTTCTGAATGCCCAGATGTATCCTTCAAACCCAATATTTACTGAATTGTAGGTGATGGACATTGCCTGATGCTGAGATGGTTCCTGAAAGAAGCACTGTAAAGGGGAGTAGAGCAGCTAAGGATGACTTTCAAGATGCCAGTGCACAACAAGCTGGAAGCAGATTACATGGACCAGACTTTTTCCCCCACAGCAGCATGCTGAAAACAATCTCTGTGTTTATAGTAGGGAGGGCATCATTTGTCATGGATGCCAGGCTAGCTGCATTGCTGCCCCTTCTTGGGTCTCTCTGAATGCACCCCTCAAAGAGGTCAGACCTTGGGCTTTTAGCTCTCTGAATTTATCCACTCTCAGAGTAGGACACTGGTTATAGCCTCTTGATACTAATCATATCTAATTCAGCAAGTCCAACTGGGGATGGGTCCTGCAAGGGTTTCTCTATGGGATTTTGTGATATCATATGTTTGCAGTGGGACAGAAATGGCTTCTTCAGAACAAAACCTGATTTATTTTGCCCAAAAGACACACAATGCTTAGGGAACTATATTTACAATGACAGAGACCTGCATGCATATTCTCCTCCCTAAGCTTAGCCCCTCTGCATAGACAGAGAGATCAGAGGGGTCTGGCTTATTCCTCATCTCTGAATTGGGAGAAACAGCCTGCACTGCTTGCAGCCTTTTCCCTCTGTTTGTATCTCAGCCCTGGTCTACACTAGGGCTGAGTTTAGGTCGAATTTAGCAGCGTTAGGTCAATTTAACCCTGCACCCGTCACATGACCAAGCCTGTTTTGTAGACTTAAAGGGCTCTTAAAATCGATTTCTGTACTCCTCCACGGCGAGGGGTTTAGCGCTAAAATCGACCTCGCTTCTCCCCAGCAGCCAGGAACTGTTCAGTACCCTGTAGCCAATACCCTCCCAACCCTCCCAAGGCGGGCTCCCGGACCATGAAGCCAGAGAAGGCATCTCTGGTGAGTGTACCTTTGTAAATATAATACAGGGTTTAAAAGCAAGCGTGTTTAATGATTAATTTGCCCTGAAGACTTGGGATATATTCGCGGCCAGTATAGCTACTGGAAAAGTCTGTTAACATGTCTGGGGATGGAGTGGAACCTCTCCTGGAGGTACTCTAAAAGCCTTTGCAGAAGATTTCTGGGGAGGGCAGCCTTATTCTGTCCTCCATGGTAGGCCACAAGCCAATAGCAAGTAGTCTGGAATCGTTGCAGAACAAAGCCTTGCAGCGAATGGGCCCGGGCTTTGGTGGCATTCAAGCAACATCCGTTCTTTATCTCTCTGTGTTAGCCTCAGGAGAGTGATATCATTCTTGGTCACCTGGTTAAAATACGTGAAATTTGTTTAAGGGAACATTCAGAGGTGCCCGTTCCTGCTAGGCTGTTTGCCTTTGGCTGAAAAGAAATCATCCCCGCTGTTAGCCATGCGGTAGCGGGAGGCCTGTTCATGCTGAGCTGTTCGTGTTTGGCTGACAGAGATCTTCCCTGATACTAGCCACGCGGTGGGGGATGGTGGTGAAGCGATCATTCCAGAGAATTGGGGTGGGGGTGTTGGGTTGTGCTGCACGTTCACCCTAATACCACAGGGCCTCCTTTTAAATGGCCAACCCAACGGGATTTGCTTGGTATGGGAAGGGAGGGCGCTGCTGTTTGAAACCATTCCCACATGTTATGAAGGTTGAAGAAGCCGAAACCCTGTGCCTTACCATGGCTGCCTGCAAGCTGAATTCTGTTGCCCAGCCGAGCGTATGTGATGTCTCACACCAAACTGTCAGGCACTCAACATAAAAGGCAAAATGCGACCTTGTACCAAAAGCACATGTGCTATGTAATGTGAATTGCCTGGTTCAGTGTGAAATAGTTTTCCCTTTGTTCTCTAAAATGAGAAATTTTAAATACTACTCTCCCTTTTTTTCCCTCCCGCAGCTGCAAATGTTTCTACACTCCCCCTATCATCTCCATCCTAGAGGCTCGCGCAGAATAGAAGGCGAAAAAACGCACTCACAACGACATGTTCTCAGAGCTCATGCACACTGAAAGAGCTCAGCAGAATGTGTGGAGGCAAACACGGCAGAGTCTAGGAAAGCGTTAAATGAACGCGATGAGAGGAGGGAGGAGCACGATGAGAGGAGGCAGAATGCAATGCTGAGGCTAATGGGGGGAGCAAATTGACATGCTCAGGCGTCTGGTGGAGCTGCAGGAAAGGGAGCAGGAGCACAGACCGCCCCTGCAGCCCCTGTATAACCACCTGCCCTCCTCCCCAAGTTCCGTATCCTCCTCACCCAGATGCCCAAGAACGCTGGGGGAGGAGAGGAGGCTATGGGCACCAGGGCCGGCTCCAGGCACCAGCTTGGCAAGCAGGTGCTTGGGGCGGCCACTCCGGAGAGGGGCGGCAGGTCCAGCTATTCGGCGGCAATTCAGCGGACGGTCCCTCACTCCCGCTCCAAGCGAAGGACCTTCCGCCGAATTGCTGCCGCAGATCACGATCGCGGCTTTTTTTTTTTGGTTGCTTGGGGCAGCCAAAACCCTGGAGCCGGCCCTGATGGGCACCCAGCCACTCAACCCCAGAGGATTGCCCAAGCAACAGAAAGCTCTCATTCAATAAGTTTTGAACTGCAGTGCGGCCTTGTCCTTCCCTCCTCCCCTCATCCACCACCCTACCTGGTGCTTCCCCCTCCTCACCCACCCCTCCCGGGCTACCTAGCAAGTTTTCCCCCTATTTGTGTGTTGAATTAATAATGAATGCTTGATTTTGAAACAATAATGACTTTATTGCCTCTGAAAGTGGTGATTGACATGGGGAGATTGGTTGGCTTACAGGGAAGTAGAGTCAACCAAGGGGGCGGGTTTTCATCAAGGAGAAACAGAGCTGTCACACCGTAGCCTGGCCAGTCATGAAACTGGTTTTCAAAGCTTCTCTGATGCACAGGGCTCCCAGCTGTGCTCTTCTAATTGCCCTGGTTTCTGGCTGTGCGTAATCGGCTGCCAGGCGATTTGCCTCAACCTCACACCCCGCCATAAATGTCTCCCCCTTACTGTCACTGATATTGTTGAGCACACAGCAAGCAGCAATAACAATGGGAATATTGGTTTTGCTGAGGTTTAACCTAGTCAGTAAACTGCACCAGCGAGCTTTTATATGTCCAAATGCACATTCTACCACCATTCTGCACTAGCTCTACCTATAGTTGAACAGTTCCTGACTACTGTCCAGGGTGCCTGTATATAGCTTCATGAGCCATGGCATTAAGGGGTAGGCTGGGTCCCCAAGGATAACTATAGGCATTTCAACATCCCCAACAGTAATTTTCTGGTCTGGGAAGTAAGTCCCTTCCTGCAGCTGTTCAAACAGACCAGAATTCCTGAAGATGTGAGTGTCATGCACCCTTCCCAGCCATCCCACATTGATGTCGGTGAAACGTCCCTTGTGATCCACCAGTGCTTGCAGCACCATTGAAAAGTACCCCTCGCGGTTTACGTACTGGCTACCAAGGTAGTCCAGTCCCAAGATAGGGATATGCATTCCGTCTATTGTCCCACCACAGTTAGGGAACCCCATTGCAGCAAAGCCATCCACTATGACCTGCACATTTCCCAGAGTCACTGCCCTTGATAGCAGCAGCTCAGTGATTGCGTTGGCTACTTGGATCACAGCCCCCACAGTAGATTTACCCACTCCAAATTGATTCCCAACTGACCGGTAGCAATCTGGCGTAGCAAGCTTCCACAGGGCTATTGCCACTTGTTTCTCAACTGTGAGGACTGCTCTCATCTTAATATTCTTGCGCTTCAGGGCAGGGGAAAGCAAGTCACAAAGTTCCATGAAAGTGCCCTTACGCATGCAAAAGTTTTGCAGCCACTGGGAATCATCCCAGACCTGCAACACTATGCGGTGCCACCAGTCTGTGCTTGTTTCCCGGGCCCAGAATCGGCGTTTCTCGGCAAGAACCTGCCCCATTACCACCATGATGTCTACATTTCTAGGGCCCGTGCTTTGAGAGAAGTCTGTGTCCATGTCCTCATCA